TAACTTTCAATTGGAATGAACATAGTTACCAATTCACAACCCTATGCTTTGACATTTTTTCTGCTTGCTGAATTTTTACAATAGTCATGCAATGAATAATGACAGAAATCCGCATTCGTACTGTCTTTGCATCATCCTACATCGATGACTCTACACTTGCCAACAAAAACATTCTCCGACTTCTACAACAATCATTTAACTATGTGGCTTTACTTCGCAACCTTGTTTTTTTCCTCAGTACCCACAAATGTTTCTTTCCCTTTTCAATTCATTCGTTTCCTCGGATTCACTTTAGACTCTTGCGCTAAACGAATAATAGTCCCCGAAGACAAAATTCAAAAGATACTCACTCTCATCCAATTCTCCTTTAACCCTTCTAGCAGATCAATCGCAAAGCTAGCAGAAAAATTTGTTTCCCTTTCAAAAGTTTTTTTACCCACCCATCTATACCTCTCCTCACTCTACGAAGCCATATTACATGTCAACTGGGATTCCCCTATTCGCATCTCCGATGACCTCATCCAAGACCTAGAGTGGTGAATCCTTTACCCACCGTATCTCCCTGGAAGACTCTGGACTGTCCGACCCACATCCCTAACCATATTTACAGATGTTTCAACAACCCACATCGCAGTGATTATCTACCCTATTCACTTATGAACCATTACACAAACAATGTCTCTCACAATTACTACTCAAAGGATCACCCACCCATAGAGAACTCTTCGCTATTTAAGAAACAATTTTATTTCTTGTCTCAACACAACCACAACTCCTCTCCTCAGCATCCGTAAGGCTCCACTCAGACAGTCAAGCGGCCACAACCTTCCTCCTTCGTATGAAATCAACCGACGAATCTTTCAATCCATGGCTACGAGTCATTGCCTCAATTCCGGTCATCTCCGATTCCCTTCTCAGTCCCGTCTGGATACCTATAACTTTAAATTCAATCGTTGACTCAATTTCCAAGTTAGAAGAAAACACTTATTGGGGACCAACATGCCACAACAAGGTAGAAATATTTTCCCAAATAGGAACGCCAACCATTGATCTCTTCACATCCGACTACCACCACACCTGCTCGATTTTCGTCTCCAAAAAATAGTCAACCAAAGCATAGATAGACTCCATCTCGCTAGATTGAAATGCGTTACTATCACTTCCCTACCGATGGATTTTCCCACCTACAACTCTACTGCACTACACCCTCTCTACGACACTTGTCAGCCCAACTTATTATCTTCTTATACTACCTTCCTCGCAACGCACCTCCTGGTACCCCAACATCCTCTCACTCAACATCGCCCACCGTTTTGTCATCCCTGAATCCAGATTCTCCTGTCTCCCCAGCCCTAGGGTCCACTTCAGCACACCCAACCCCGCGATCCTCGGTCTCACAACAATCTTATTTTCCACCTAAATTTTCCTTACTCCTTCTCTTCCACCCTCGACGCATCTCATAACCATACCTCACAAATGCCCCGACACTACTCCACGTCCCTTGCCGCATCATTTTCTCCAAACTCCAACCCTCCTCTATCCCTTTGCTCGCTCCCCCTATTCGAAATTTGTGACCACGTTCTCCCTTGTATACCTCCTTAAACCATTTTTCTATTCACTTGTTAAAACCACCACCACTCACCGGACTATCACCACGCATCGACCGAAACAAATAACCCCTTTTTACATCTTGCCCTAACCGTTCATAACTTCTTAATAACTCCGGTTGCCAACCCAAAAATGTTTCTTCATCACTTTGTGGATCACGCAACCTTATCATAAATCTGCCTTTATGACGACCAATTTTTGTATATCCTGACCAAACAACCCTTTGTTCAACAACAATCTCTTTATACTATAACCTCAATCCTTCACCACACCGCTTTCAACTCTCCCATAAATACAAAAACGTTCCCCCATGACGATAAGGCTGAGCTTTCGGATACCCTTTCAACACTTTCACCTTCTCCCGAATATGCTCCAGCACCCTCTTCAACTTTATCCATCTCAGAGGACGTGTCGAATCTTAAACCATACCCCTTTGTAAGGATTACTCCCGATAAGCTTTGCGGAAGGCTTGTACCCTGCTACTCTGACACAGATCTCCTTCACCATCTCTTCCAAGCAATCGAAAGCAAGCACTCAAGCAATTTACAACGACATCTACCGTCGACGGCGATACAAGTGGTAGACCTTCAACATAAGAAGTTTGACAACGACCCTCTACCTCGACAAACCACTGGTTGCTGATGAGCAACAACACATCCAGACCAATGCATGTCATACAATCTCACCCAACATTGTTCCGTTCCAACCATTCATTCAATGCAGGAAGAAGTTTCTTCATTCCCCCTCTCCATCACTGACCAACTCCATATTCGTCAACCAATGCGCTACTGCATTCAAGTCCATCCTCATATCCACCTTCAAACTCGGGAGTTACCCACTTCTGTCTCCAGATGTCGTTGCTCGTTCCACCATTCCCAGCAAAACGACAAGGTCACTTGCAGGATGATGGAGGGAGTTGGGTGGTTTCAGGAGGTGTGTGGGCCTGCGACCCACCTTCCCGACTCACTTTTGTGCATTTACGGACTATCATTTCCTATTTTATCTGGAACGGACCTGTGTAACATTATGCCAGCAACCGTGCAGCCAATTGCGCACAAAACGGACCAAACAGATTGAACAAGGTAACCATCCTTGGTCCGCATCAACTAACCAACAACGACGGCAGTTGGGAATTGGTACCACGACATCGACACTTGGGACTCAAGGATCACAATCGTCAATCTACTACATCCAAGTGCTACACCCAACGCAGCCATTTCCATTTCGTAAATCCACGACGAGCAACCAATCACTCAACAAGTACGACTACTAGGATTTGACGTGACAACTCACCCTGGCTGAAGCACGGCATCGTCGGCCCGTCCGGTCCCACTGCTCTGCCCTGCGACAATATAAGCCACATGCGCTTGTCCTGCCACGATAGCTTGGAAGCTTTCCCGAGCTGCGCCTTCCAGGCCCCGACCGCTCACAACGTTCATTGCAAACGCAAACCTGCGAGCACGCCGCACAAGGGTCAGGTCCTCAGAGGTCGAGTCCTTTTTTCCCCTCGCCTTGATTCGGTGAAGCGGTCTCGCCCGTCCTCAATTTTCCCGCCGTGTGCGGGGCTGTGGCCCACCTTTCCGACTCACTTCTGTGCGATCTGGCATCATCTACGGACTATCATTTTCCTATTTTATATGGAACAGACCTGTGTACTAGACCTCTTTCAATCTTCTAGTTGAAGTTGGCCGCCGCCAAGAAGGATGCTGTGAACCTAACGCGAGACAAGCGATAGACTCGCTGTCTCCTTTTTCTTTTTGGCAGTCTTTTGTTTCTGTCCTCAAGCTGACGGGCGGAATTTTGCCCATGCGCAGCCCTTCGGCGCTTATCTAAATTTTGGAAGTCTCCGGTTAGCCCCCTCGGGACTGATGTGAGAACCCCGGTTTCCCCCTGGCGGTTCAACCCCCGCCCAAAATCTTGAACAATTGGTTCTGCTGTCACAGTAGGCAGGCAGAAGGGAAGGTGGGCCTGGGTTTGGGACGAGGGTTGCTCTGCGGCAGGATTGGCATAGAGTGGGGCTATTGGGCCTGGGTGGGGCTACCAGGGCCAGTCACTGGAACTGGGTAATGGTTCGAGCCAGAGATCGGGCTCGTTTGGAGAGAGATTGTCGTCGGGGAAACCGACGGCCCTATGGAATTCAGCAATTTGGTTCATCTGCTTCAATCTCTGCATTTGCCCTATGGAATTCAGGAATTTGGTTCATCTGCTTCCATCTCTGCATTTCAGCAGTTTATGGGTGTACCAACTGAGATAGGGCCGTTGGTGCCTCACACAGGGACTGACTTCTTTTTCTGGGGCGACGGCCGTGAGACCGGCCCGGGTGATACGCATTCGAACAGTTCATCTTTGGATGTCATTCCAGTCAGATGCATCCCCGTAACGCCGCCGTTGCTGTCTTCTCCTCATAGGGGGGAAGGTCCCACTTGCGCAAATTAGGAGATCTGGTCCGTTGATCTTTGCTATCTACGGTCAGTATCTCTTAATCCGTGCAAGTGGGACCTAGCCCCGGGGCACAGCTATGTATATTTTCTCTCACTCTCACCTAGGCGTTCTGCCATGTCATGGAACATATCTTTTTCCTTTCACGATCTACCACTACTCCTAAAAGGCTATACAGGGGACCCCTGCAAGTATAGCTTTCACCTCTCTTTGGTGAAGGGAGGTTACTTCTCTCGGTGGAGGGAGGTAACGGCATGTTTGACTCTTTGCCCTACCTTTTCTTCCCCCGAATACAACGTTCGGTAATTATAGCTGTATTTAGACTGAGAGATACCCCAACTACAGCAATAATGACCGTACGTTGTATTCGGAAGACAAAGGTAGCGTTTAGGGTGCAGGCTTGGGGCTGCCGGCGGCATTTGCCAGTAACTGTGCCTCCCTTTTGATCTTCCCCCCAAAGGAGCTCCTCTTTTTCCCCGAAAAAAAAAACAAAACAAAAAGAATCACCAGATCTGCAGAAAACATCTGATCAATCCAGTGCAATCCGCCCCATCCTTGATGCGACACGTTGGCTGTATCCCGACTTTATGGCGCGCAAGGGGACGTTAGTGCGGGAAGAGGGCAAAGCCCTGGTTACACTTCTCGCCATCCGCCAAGATTTTGAATGCATCTGGACAGAAAGATTTCCACATGCAATCAAAATGTTGGCGGATGTCGAGTAGTGCGACGAGGCCCCAAAGACAGGGATACAGGAGCCGGTAAAAGCGAGCGTTCGAGCGAGCGAGAGACAGAGAGAAGACAGACAGAGAGAGAGCTCTTTCCCTGAACCGATGTGGCGCCCACGTAGTTTGTCCGTTGGTGACGGACTGGCACAAATCGCCATCATATCGCCGGAAGAAAGCATGAAAGCGAGGTGGCATGTTTTCGGTTCGCCGGTGTTTTCCCGTGTTTTCCCGTTCCCCCTCCTCTTCACTGCGAACCCGTGCTCGTGCTGCAGCCCTTCTCTGCGGTTGAGCATCTACCGACGGTGGTCGGGCGCTGCGTCTGTGTGCTCCGCTAGGTCCGTACGCGGCACGTGTGTGCGTCTCTCTCTGAGAACTTCGCCTTCGCATTAGGACTTGGAAATGGGACTGTGGGACTCGGGAAATGGGACTTGGAGTCGAGGAGGTGGGAGTTGCTGCTGCTCCTCTGCGAACGTTTCCTGCGCGGGGAAGAGCATTACCTGCAGCTGACCGATGAAGGTCACTTGCGCGTACGGATTGTAACGCGTCTTCCTCGAAGTGTTCTCAGTATCTCCTGGCGGCGCCGGTTAACTCCCATCTCACGTCATTCTTCTTCTTCTTCTTCTTCTTCTTCTTCTTCTTCTTCTTCTTCCTTCTTCTTCTTCTTCTTGGTGGGAGATATGCTCGTACCGGAGTCTTGCGCGTACGGATTGTACTAGAAATCTAGAGGTGTGTCAGGAAAGCGAAGTTGGTATCGTTACTCGTACTTATGCATTCGGATTCTGCTAGAAAGCTGAGAGTCATGGTCGAAAAAACCCATGTTTGCCACTGCTTGATAGTATTCTTCTTCTTCTTCTTCTTCTTCTGTGCTTGGTCGGAAAGTCTGGTGGTGGTCCCCGCAAGGCGGATCTGGGGAGAAGCCCCCTGAGGAGCGAGTGCCAGGAGCGCAGCGTGGCCCAAAAAAAACGCGTCGGGGAAATTTGCGCATTTTCTGAGAGCTGTAGGGGAAATCTGTTGATGCTTGTACGAGAAGCAGTCTATGGCCACTGTTTTCACTATTCTTCCTCTTCTTCTTCTTCGTCTTCATGGGAATGCGCGTGTGTCGGGACAAGAAGAGTGCGTCTAGCTTTGTATATTTTGTAATTCAATACGCGTGGGCGGTAGCAAAATTTCCCATTGCTTGTCGCTAGTCGTCTTCTTCTGTGTCCTTTCCTTGTGAGGTCGTCGATGCGTGAGTGTGGTATGTGCCCCTCCCTGACAAAGCGCAACCAGGCGAAGCGCGTATTGGCAATGTGCTCGTTTATGAGCAGCTTGACATGTTCTGTGCCGGTGCTGTGATGAGCTCTTTTTCGAAGCATAGAGGCTGAGCGATTTGTCTCGATTTTACAGATTCTTGTTGTTGTTCTTCTTCTTTTTTGTCTTCTCCTTCTTATTCTGTTATGTGTATGCACACATTACATCGACGACTAGGACACTAGTCTTCTTCTTCTTCTTCTTCTTCTTCTTTGTCTTTTCCTCGTCCTCCCTTTTTCTCATTCCTGGTGGGGACCTCCTTGGCGATCATTGGCTGGCAGTTTTTCTTCTTCCTCTTCTTCTTCTTCTTCTTTGTCTTCTTCTTTGTCTTTTCCTCGTCCTTCCTTTTTTCTCGTTCTTGGTCCTGAACCTTTTTCGTCGCTAGTGAGGCGAGCATTGGCTGGCATTACATCCGTCGACTGGCATGGGGGCAAGAATGAAAATGAACAACGTGTTTGCTTCTCCGTTCTTCTTCTTCTTCGTTATCTGCGTGTTCCTGTTGGCTTTGGAGGCGATGGTGGGAACCACCTTGGCGGCTGCGGAGGGCGGGGGCCCGTGCGACATTTTCGATGGTGAGAACACCGTTCATTTTCCAGTTTGCTATGATCACTTAGGTATTAGAATGGCTTGGGCTTATCGTTCGTCCGATCGTCACCTTTATGTAGTAGTTAGGTGTTTTAGCCCCGCGGGGCATTACTTCGGCTGGGGCTTGTCTCCCGCGCGTCAAGAAGGGGAGGTAATGCTGAACTCCAGTGCTTTGGTGGCATATCGTGGCGATAACGGCGTGCCTGAAGTTCATATGTACAAGCTAGCGAGACAAGATCCTAGTGGGGTTGTGAAGGACTCGGGCGATTTGAATGTCGTCTTTCGCGCTGTCTCTGCTAACGAGGCTGATCCCTCGATGATGTCGATGAGGTTCGAGATTGAATTCGATGATGACGATAATATCGATGTCGATGTTCATGCTGCCACTGCAATCTGGGCGAAAGGTAGAATGACCGATTCCAAGGCAGGGGTTTTGGAAGCGCACTTGCCAGGGGACAACGGGTACTTACGCAATCTAGACTTTGAGAACGCTGCCATAGCTGAGGGCAAGAAGAAGAAGAAGAACGCCGATGGTAGTGATCGTATAAGCATGGCCTTCCCCTCTGATTACTTGGGAGGGGATGGCGCATCGCGAGGGGTCAAGAATATTCATGGAGCGTTCGGGATCTTGTCGTACGGTATTATCATTCCTCTTGGAGTCATCGTGGCCCGCCATCTACGTCCAGGGTGGGAAGATTGGTTCGATACCCATCGAGGGATGCAGGTTGTCGGGTTCATTCTTGGAGTCATCGGATTTTCGTTAGGTCTAATGCTAGGGCACAGAAGTAAGGGAGAGGAGCACAAGAGGCACCGGAGTGTGGGGATCACGATCATTGTATTCACAGCGCTGCAGGTGATGGCGCTCATTTTCAGGCCGGGGAAAGAGCACGAATGGAGGAACTGCTGGAGTCTGTATCATCACGGAATTGGGTACCTAGTCGTGCTTCTCGGAGTGATACAGATTTTCAATGGGTTCGACATCTTACACGTGGCAGTAGGCTGGAAGGTTGTCTATGTACTGATTCTAGTGCTCATCTTGTTGCTGGAGGTAACCCTCGAGGTTGCCAAGCTGTACCGCTGGTACGTCGAGAATCAGCAGCAGCCGAAGGGACCTCAGCACATGCCAGCTGGCAGAATGCCGTCTGGCGTGGCGATGGAGGATATGGCAAAGCCAACGGGCCCGCGGCACGCGTACAATACACAAAATATAGCAATTTGATATCCGGCAATATTCGAATTTTGCCTCCTTTTGGTTTCAATCAACCAATCAATCAATCAACGTCCACGTCACACCATCAACAACAGTAGTCGTAAATGTGTTAACGCGCCTCGTTGCGCGCAAGTTCCTCTCTTTCTCTGCCCGTACCGCACAGAGATTTGGCGGGGGGAGAGAGAGAGAGAGAGAGAGAGAGAGAGAGAGAGAGAGAGAGAGAGAGAGAGCCTTTGCAGGAAACGAGAAGAGAGAGAAGGGTGCTAGTCTTGTGCAAGTGCGAAAAGGATTATGAGGATGTGTAATTAGGGCTCTGGAGAAGAGAGAGGGGGAGATGTGGGAGGGAGCGCAGCAGTGTGAGGGAGCGAGGGAAAGAGAGAGAGAGAGAGACCTCCTTGGCAGGAAACGAGTAGAGAGAAGGGTGCTAGTCTTGTGCAAGTACGAAAAGGATTATGTGGATGTGTAATTAGGGCTCTGGAGAAGAGATGGGGGGCTGTGGGAGGGAGCGCAGCAGTGTGAGGGATAAGAGAGGCGTTCGGATCGAGGCAAGCGAGCGACGGAGAAGAAGCTTGAAGAGAGTGACACAGGAGTTTTGACCGTTGCGTGAAGAGACGTGATGTTATTGGCCGAGTGGCCGCGTATCCATGCTTGTCATATCCTCGAGGTATTTAGAAATTCTCGCCAATACTGCATCAGGACGAGCTCTGGTCCTTGTAACGTGCATTAGCTATTATGGGTTAGCTTAAACTTCCGCCGTTGTTTTCCTTTGATTTGTATGTGTATGTGCACGAGAGAGAGAGAGAGAGAGAGAGAGAGAGAGAGAGAGAGAGAGAGAGAGAGAGAGAGAGAGAGAGAGAGAGAGAGAGAGAGAG